GAGGGGGGGGCGGCTGCTGGGGCACTCAGGGCACCGGGGAGGGAGGGAGGCGGGGTTTATGGTGGCTTTTCACATGGTTGGTTTTACCATTAACTTTGAATGCCTTTGTGGGTCTATAAAGTTCCCCATGGTGGTTTATAGGGAGTATGAATCGACAAAATTGGTGGCAAAAACAGGGTAATGGGCGGCTTTCAGACACTCACACGAGGGTCAAGGAACAAAGGCAAAGAGGCAGCATCTTGCCACAAAAACCATTCCAATGATAACTTAAAAGAAAAATTCACATAAATTCCTTTATGTTTTCGCCCCCAAATTCCGTGCCTCCGGGCACAGAAATGGCCGGCAGGATAATCACCCCAGAGTTAATGGTGGTCATCTCTGAGTGCTGGTATTTTCTTTTCTGTGCCTTTCTAAATGCTCCAAATTATTTCCAGCTTTCGGGTATTACTTTTGTAATGGGAGGACAAAAGTGGTCTTTAAAAGTCAGATAATCCAATGCAGCAGGAAGGAAGGTTTTCTCAGGCACCCACGATTCACTCACAGTAATAACCCATCCCTGGGGCTCCTATTCGGGCACCTCATTTTGTTCGCAACACGATTCTCCAGCTTGAAAGATGGGGACACCGAGGCACGGAGATCGAAACGTCTTACTCAAGGTCACACAGAAAAAGGGGCCCAACGGGAACCAGCACCCTTCCCCTCCCAGCACAGCCTTCACCCTTCTCTGTCCAGGCTCCCTGCTGGCCCAGGGGCGGGAGGTTGCAGCTGGCAATCCTCAGATGGGGTGAGGGGCTTTCACTTTGGAGGGCCCCTGGCATTCTCCCTGGGTGGTCCGAGAGGCTGTTTAGCAGAGGTTTCTCTGGTCAGACTCGTGACTCTGGCCACCTAGAACCTGGTGGTGTCTTCAGGGGTATGGGGGACGGGATCTAGATGCTTCCAGAAGGTTCCAGACCCAGGCTAAGCCAGGTCACGTTTGAGCAGAGGCAGAGGCTGGGTGTGGAAGGAAAAGGGGGTCAGATGCCCTCAGGGATGGGGAGTGGCACAAAGTCAGCTGCTTCAGTGCAGGCAGCTTAGGCAGGGAGGAATGGGGAGCAGCCCCACCTCTGGGCAGGGCCTGGCTGGAGGAGGGTGCAGAGGAGGTGTGGTCTGTGAACTGACCGGGGAAGACTGGAACCCCCGGTCAATTCCGGCTTCCTGGGGGTCCCGGTCCTCCCCAGTCAGTTCAGGCTTCCTGGGATGTTGCCCTGTCCCAGGGAAGGGGTGTGACGTAGACCCTGGGCTGGGGGACAGAGACCCCCTCGTATCCAGCCCTCCTTCCTCTGCATGCGTTCTCCCAGAGACAGCCATGTGAAAACATCACGGACCGGACACAGAATGGACATTCACGTTCTCTTTAGATTGAAACGTGGTAAGGTGCTGGAGGGCTGACTCTACCTTCAGGGGTAGAGTCCCACTCTGATGTGGGGAGACAGAACCCCTGACATCATAAGTCTTAGTCTGATGGGGGAGAGACAGTCCTCCCTGGGGAGACACTAGACCTCCCTGGGGAGGTCCTGAGTCTGATGGGAGAGATACAACCCTTCCCTGGGAGGTCCCGAGTCTGATGGGGGAGACACAGATCTCCCTGGGGGGGTCCCGAGTCTGACGGGAGAGACACCACCCTTTCCTGGGGAGGTCCCGTGTCTGATTGGGGAGACACAGCCCTTCCAGAAGAGGTCCTGAGCTGATGGGAGCGATACAACCCTTCCCTGGGAGGTCCCAAGTCTGATGGGGGAGACACAGATCTCCCTGGGGAGGTCCCGAGTCTGACAGGAGAGACACCACCCTTTCCTGGAGAGGTCCCGAGTCTGATGGGGGAGACACAGCCCCCCCCTGGGGAAGTCCCGTGTCTGATGGGGGAGACACCACCCTTCCCTGGGGAGGTCCCGAGTCTGATGGGGGAGACACCACCCTTCCCTGGGGAGATCCTGAGTCTGATGGGGGAGACACAGCCCTCCCTGGAGAGGTCCCGAGTCTGATGGGAGAGACACCACCCTTCCCTGGGGAGGTCCAGTGTCTGACTGGGGAGACACAGCCCTTCCAGAAGAGGTCCTGAGTCTGATGGGAGAGATACAACCCTTCCCTGGGAAGTCCTGAGTCTGATGGGGGAGACACAGCCCTCCCTGGGGAGGTCCCGAGTCTGATGGGAGAGACACCACCCTTCCCTGGGGAGGTCCCGTGTCTGACTGGGGAGACACAGCCCTTCCAGAAGAGGTCCTGAGTCTGATGGGAGAGATACAACCCTTCCCCGGGAGGTCCCGAGTCTGATGGGGGAGACGTGTCCCTCTACCATTGGAGAACTTCCAATCTAACAGAGAAGACCCTTATCCAGAAAAGAGATCTTTAATGTAGACACAGAAATGCAGGCATGGGCCCACCGGAGTATCTGTTTTACTGAGTTCCCGAGGGACTCAAAACCCAGAAAGAAGGAAAGGCACAAAGAGCATCCAGGAAGGCCTCCCTGAGAAGGTGATTTCTCCGGCCCCTGAAAGTCCAACCCAGCTCTGCCAGGCTCTCTGGTGATGGCAGCTAACAAGACTGGCTCCCTGTCCCCCAAGGAATTCACCATGTGGAGGAGGAGGGTGCTGGACACTAACAAGGAGAGCAGGGATTGGACACCCATGTAATGGGTACAGGCCAGGTTAGGAGTTTGGACCTGACGCCTGGGCACTGGGGAGCCATGGAAAGTTTTAAGCAGGGGGGAGAGCGATCAGATTTGTGATTTGAAAAGATCAGCTGGGCTGCCAGGAGGAGGAGGGCATGGGGAGGAGTAGAGAAGCAGGAGACTCAGGGACTGGCCCGAGGGCCTGGCGGTGGGGGATGCTGGACAGAAGTCCTGAAGCTCTGCCCCCTGAGCCCCACCTGACAGAGGGGTGATGAGGTTCCATGACTGCGTCTGCACAGCTGCCTGGCTGGACTCAAGGACACGGGCCCAGGGTCCTCCTCTGTGGATGCCTATTGGTCTATGGGAGCCCTCACAGCTGGACAAGGATATCCCAGGGTCCCCCAGATTGGGAGAGCCAGAGAAACATCAGACCACAGCCTCTGGTTCCCGCATCCAAATCCTCAGGTCCTGATTGGAGCCTTCAGCTGCCAAGGCCACGGGCCACCCCTGCCTGCTGGGCCCTCCATCTGGTTGGGCATTTGTCCCACTGGTTAGTAAAGGCTTCAGACCGGGCCGTGCAGGGGTCAGGCCGAGGCCTGAACTGACCCATCTGGGAGAACAGCTAATAAGCCCCCCCATTTGCATATATGCAAACAAGGCTCCACCGTCGACAGAGCAATTAGCATTGCCTACTGCCTGGCCAGGCCACCAGGGTTGGCCGCAGTGCCTGGGATCTTATCTGTTGGGCTCGGAGCCTGGCTTCTTCTCAGCTGAGGCCTGGCTGGGTGGATAGGTGATCAAGTCCCAGATTGGGCCTGATGCTCCCCTCCAGAGGCCAAATGAGCCTGTGCAGGGCCTTCTGGAGAGGGGCAGGGAGGGCCCAAGGCTCTTGGCCTCTTATCTTTTATTTTGGGCACAGGGAGAAGGCCATCTTGGGACTGAACACGAGACGTGCAACCATCCCAGCTCCGCAAATACGGCAAAGGGGAAGAAGCTGAGGCTTTGACTCGGAGAAGCTTGAATTCTAATCCTCACTCTATACCATTTGCTGCTGTGTAACTCTGGCTAAGTTAACTGACCTCTCTGGGCCTCAGCAGTTTCATTTGTAAAATGGAGGCCATGCCTCCTGCCAGGCTCTTGAGAGGAGTGAAATCATCCTTAGAGGGGTGCCTGGGTGGCTCAGTCGGTTAAGCATCCAACTCTTGATCCCCGCTCGGGTCACGATCTCACCGTTTGTGAGTTCAAGCCCCACATCGGGCTCTGCGCTGACATTGCAGAGCCTGCTGGGGATTCCCTCTCTCTCTCTCTCTCTCTCTCT